CAGGAAATCGATCGATTGAGAATCCTTCGCGGGCATCCGGGAAGCCGCGGTGCAACGCAAAATGTTGCCAGGAATTAACATAACAAGTTTCCCGGCTGCACGTAATGCGCCAATACCCGCAGGCACCCCACGGATTTGCATGGTCCATTTAAATACAATTTCTTTTTGACCCCCCTCCCGATCGAGAAATTACGTGAATACGCGATCCGCGCGTCGTTCTCGTATGCAACCCCTACCGTGGGCGGATTAAAGGGGCTCGCATTAAAGCCGCCCTACGAAGAAAAACGCGGGACGCCTCTCTCGCCGTCCTTTACGCTTTACCTTCGCCTCACCTAATTAATTCTGTTTGTACATTAATCGCGCTCTGCCGTTCCCGTCGCCCAGAGCGCCTGCAGACGAACCTCCGACTTTGGTCGGCTAGTAAGCCTCGCTCTTTCCTCTGTTTGGCTTTCAACTAAAAAGAGAACTCGTTTTTCGCATCGCGCTCCGAGCACTTCGCAGTATTGTTGTCCACGTTTCACGTGGATAACGCTAGATAATTAGTCGAGTTTACAGAAACAATTTACTAAAAGGTCTTCGTTGGCTACTCGGTTGCAGGTTTAATTACTCTTTGAATAAACTTCACTGTTTCATGTCAAGTTACTTGTTCGTATTAATTTCGCAGTCGTACGTTTAGCAGCATGTCAGGTGAGGAACTGCTTGGATAAATTTCCGAGTCGATGGAACATTCGAATGTAAGTAAATACCTTAATTTATTCGCACTTTTATTGTTAGTCAGAGGGACGAGCTTAATATGAAATTGTCTAGTTTATTTATAGACTTGATTTTTCACTTGAGAATCTATGGAATCTCAGACCCCCTGTCACCGTGTTAGAGGAGTCTGCAGTAGAAACGGACCGTGCGAGTCAGACACAGGCATCGAGGGACAACGTCGAATCTCAGGAGTCATAAAGTGACAGTGACAAATCCTCGTTTCCGCGATATTTCGAGAAGTAAACGTTTGTCTCCGGTTATGTTCACATTTTCTGAAGCTTTACGTCTAGCAAGAAGTAGAAACGGAGTGCCGCTGTTAGACGTATAAAAAGAGAAACCCTATCAGGTATCTACGGTTGAAAAAGTTGAATTTGTCTGTATTTTTCCTCGGTATTTTTCAAGAGTCTGTGACGATTCTGAGCGAACCGTTTTCTGTGTTAGCGACTGTGCCAAGTAGAATCAAGGGTCAACGTCAGGCATCCTGTGTCGTATTAATAAAATTGTTTCAAGGGAGCTTCTGCTCGCAGTAGAAACGGACAGATGGTGTCAGACACAGGTATGGAGGAACATTGTCGAATCTCAAATTCGTAAAGTTACCATGACAATTCCACGTTTCACGATATTTCGTAAAGTGAACACTTGACATCGATTATGTTCACCTGCAAAAGTGGTAACGGACTGTCATAGTCAGATGCAGGTTACCAAAGGCTCTATCAAGCGTTTACAATTAAAAAAGTTACAAGTCCGTTGGTTCGGTATTATTAGGAGCAAGCGTTTGGTAGGATTTAAGGGAACCTTTCAGAAAGTTAGCGATTCTCAGTAGAACCGGAATACCAAAGCCTGACGCTCAAACCCAGAAACTCTCTCAAGGTAACAGCAACGCAGTAAAAGTTTAAGGCGCCCAATTCCCAATACTTTCTAACACAAATGCTTGCTTTAAATTAAGTATAGCGTTTCCAAAGCCTGCGTTTACCAGAGAGTAGAAATGGAACGCCAAAGTCGGACAATTGAATCTAGAAACTTCCAAGTGAGAAGTAATAGCGTTGGAGTCCACGGTCGAAGCGTTGCTGGGAGTAAATCTTTTTTAAACCACGTCTACCATCGCGTATGGCAGATGTATCATGTGAGAATCGCGAGTAATAAATAATATGAGTTACATAACTGGACGACAATTTTCGAAGATTTATATGAAAGAATTCTTTTTTTAAATATTGTACCTCGTGTTTAAACAGTATTTATGGTAATTCAAAATTTATTACTATACAATATTCGTAATATTAATCTCCATCTTTTGATGGTCGTAATTCAGGTTGATTTATTACGCGCAGGTGCAATCATTTCAACTGATCTTATCATTTTCGCGGAGATGTATCGTTACTTTGTTTCCTTTTTTTTTTTCGAAAAATAAAATGCAGCTGCGCATAAATTACATATAAGCAACGGTTTTCGTGCATCCACTGCACATGCTGATACGAAAAGCACGTGCAAAATGAATGTAAATATGCTTCATAAATAAACACAGTAATATTAATATTTTATTCTCATCCCTTTTTTAATACAAGTTTTGACTTTTGACTCTTCTGTGTATTAGTCGGTACGAAAATATTCCCAAATCGATATTTTTCATGCGGAAACATGCCACTACTACCCTTTCGAAATCTACTCAGCTCTAAAGCCATGCATGTGTTCTTTAAAAACGATCGATAACTAAACAAGTTTGGGAAACGTTGACCACTAATTATTACGAAGCTAATTACGAAGCAAGTTGGTCACGTGGCAGGACAAAACATAAGATGGTGGAAATTTCGCTGCTGGTTACGTTGACTTCGAAATGTAAACCGACAGCCAGCGCAGTTCCTCGCTGAGAAGCAGCTGCGAGAGGAAGCTTCTTCCCTTCGAGAGAGGTTGTGTCGTTTTTCACTCTCGAGTCGGTAAGCGATAAGCGGAGCTGGCTAGGAGCGCCAAGGAAGATAGAAACCGACTGGTGGATCCTTTCGAAACAAATGCTCGGTACGTGTTACGTTCGCTGTACGTACGGATGGATTTTCGGCCACTCCGAAGCAATCTGCAAACACGTATCGCGGTTGCGGATTGCGTACAAGAATCGCGAATGATAGAAATCGGAGGTGAGTTGCCTAATGCATTCCTGGCACCTAAATCGTACCTTTTCAATACCTTTATCATTCCTTACTGCGAGCACAGGGTGGTTACCAATGTATGGAACATTTGCGGTATGAAAAGCGTGAACAGAAAATTCTTTGGTGGTTGGTAGAAAATGGTTAAGTCCTGAATTTTAAATAAAAATACATTCAACATACGAAAGAATATTTTGAATTTATATCACGTACACGTGCAGTTGTTATAAAAATGAAATCAATACTTTTGCAAATGGAACAAACGCACATTCGTTCTCATAAAAAGTATATTCATTTTATTCCAGATTATATTTATTTTGTGAATCCGTACCTTTGTTAATTCTACCAGTGCAATTATAAACAACTATTTTATTTTTCTAATAATAAACATATTCCAAGTTAAAATTATCAACACCTGTCCTCTAAATTATTGCGACATTAATTTTTTCTGTTATAGCCTACGCAGCTTCCCAGCCAAACAAATCCACCTATAATTTCCATTTCGCGAAAGGTGCTGTCCACGTGTCATATAGATAAACTAACACACACATACACACATCTACACGATGATAGTGAAAACAGTGGGTTGCTCCAGAATGGTGAGGTAAAGGGGGTGATCAGGTGAATTCCAGTCTCGCGACGCGATTTATGAGAAGCGAACACCCGGCTATAAAATAACATTTCCCATTCAATTCGCCAAATTAATGGCCGTTTTCATGGATTCTTTGTTTGCAGCTGACGGCAATAGCTCGCTGCTGGGTTATTATTACGAGTACGGACCAAAAGAACAGTCAGTTCGAGTAAAATCCGCGGATCGTACCGCAGTGGAGCTTCCATCGAGAACTTTTTTTCCCATGGATACTGCAGCATGAGTTGCAAACAAAGCATTCGATCGCAGGCGTGTCTGTTTCAATAATAATGTCCGTTTAGCTCACTGGAGCTGCTCCGACATATTTATTTACCAGTTCAGACACTAGAATGCGCGCGAGAGCAATAAAGCCTTCCTATTTTTATCTTCCTCCCCTTTTTTTTATATCGAAATTAATCCATGTCACCATCTAGGCGCGCGGCAATGCGCCGTGGATTCCTTTGACAGCGGCGGAGCATCGATGAAAAGCTGTTGAAGAATTGGGCATACATTTCTGTCGTTCGAAAAGGACTCCCAGCGCGCCTATTCAGCACAAAGGGCCACGCCGTTGGAAATGATAACGCGAAAAGCAGGCGAAAAGAGACGAGGTGGTACGAGAACTCGTCCGCGACCTTTGGACCTACTTTAGGCGAGTCAGTCGGATAATTGAGGCTAATTTGTTTGGGATTAATCTGTAGACAGCCTTTTTATAGCTTCAGAACTTTAATTCACTCGCTCCAGGCTCTCATCTCTGTGACATTTAGATTCTGAATCGGCGTCTCGTTAACTGCGCTATGTAATTTCACATATACACCTGAAGAGCCTGGCGTTGAAAGGGGCACGTAAAATCTCGGAATTTTATCCCAAGCGGAACTATGGGTTTCATTCGTCTTTCTAAACAGTCACTCAACTCGCTCCGCACGTTATGCTGCGCTGTGCGCCTTCTGTTCTATTGTACCTCGACTTTCCCGTACTGTGTTTTAGATCTACGGGGAGTAGAGACGATTAATAAATAAATTATGAACGCCCGGTATGCTTTACAAACTTGTACCGTGCACTCGTTATGTGGCAGCGCATTGGATTTCAGGTTAGTGAACTCTCTGCCAACTTCTAAGGGAATCGCTGATTGAAATTCTGAGGCATTGAGATCTCAGGATCTCAAACCATCAAGATCTCAAGATTCAAAGCTCTCAGGATCCCAAACTCCCAAGATTCCGAGCCCTCAAAATCACAAGCTCTCATGACCCCAAGGCCTCAAGCTCTCAGGATCCAAAGCTCTCAGGATCTCAAGCACTCAAGACCCTAAGCCCTCAGAATTTCAAGCTCTCAAAATCCTTAAGATCTCAAGATCCAAAGATCTCATGATCCCAAGCTCTGAGGATCCCAAGCACTCACGGCTCCAAGCTCTCAGAATGTCAAGCTCTGAAAATCCCAAGCTTTCAAGATCCCGATACGTCAACCCCAGAAAAAATATCGTTTCCTACCTTGAACTGGAGCGTAGATGTTGAGATACAGGCAATCCTCGCTCTGGTTCCTCAAGTAGGGCAGCAGCCGCCTGAGATACTCGACCCTGCCCCTAGGCATCTTGTCGCTGAGCTCAGGGAGCTTCTGCGGGCATACGGGCCCGAACTTGTCGGCCACCTTGACGCCGTGCCAGAGAGCACCGCTGACAGGCGGCATGAACCTCAACGAGCCGGTCGGCGGCGACGCGTAAGGGACGCCGCGGAACACCTCGACGCCCTCGAGGTGGCGATCGAGGGTCACGATAATGCCCGACAGTTCTCCATACTTTGTCCTGACGATCCTCGAGCTGAGCTCGGCGCTGGCTGACGCCAGTACGAGACCGAGCAGCGCAAGGATCGACGACGTCATCTTAGTTCGCGCCCTTCAAACCCCGTCCCCACGCTTGGTGCTCAGTAGATCCTCCTGAAACCTTTCATTCCTTGGTCCTAGCCACCCCCTGAGGCCGGTACGTGAGCTATCGTGCCCGCCTCGTAACCGCTAGGACCAGGAGCGCCTCCAGGATGCATCAGTGATCTCCACGATCAGCGTCAGGACTCTCCCAACTCTCTTGCGGTCTAACGATCCCAAACTCGCTCCGAAGGTTCACGTCATCTTTCGATCCTCGATATCACTGCGTGAATCTGGTTTCAAGAACTAACGGGACCTACGAGGTTAGTCCGGGAGCCGAGTCTCCCCTTCGCGATGTTTGGCTAGCTATATTGGATCAGAAAACGCGCTGACGGTTCTCGACGGGAGTCAACACGCGGCCGTAGACATCCTCGACTCAGCGTTCTGAAAGGTAAATAGTCGAGAACTTGGCGCTGCAGACTCCGATATCCTCGAGCTTCCGATTCTATTCCATTCGACAGGATGTATCCTGAAAATGGGACATTGGACTCTTGGGGAAAAAATCTTCTGGTTCCAGAGATTCTCCTCGAGTCAGTCTTCGAGGAGCAAGCCTTGATTCCTGATTATAAGGAACATTATTGAATTGCCTTCTGAGACTAAGTTGAGGTTCGAATTATTGACTTCGATGTGTGTGGATCGAGTTACAGAAAGACGATCTCATTTCTAATGGCATGCTTGACGTGTCGGTAAAGATAAAACGCGCCAGCTCTGATGACGGACAGGAGAAAACTACCCCTGGGATGTTTAACGGTCCGCTTCATCCTTACGAGCCAGCTTCCCGAAGAAGCCTGAGGAATGAAAACACCGGATCCCGTGTTGAATCGCGTCCACGGTAACCACGAGATGCTTTACTCCCCAACTAGACTCCTTATGGACGGACAGGCGTTTCCCCAAGTCGTCCCTTTCTGATCTTACGAGCACATTCGTCGATTTCTGGAGGAGTTCTCAGATTCGACATGGAGAAGTGAACTAGCCGAGGCAACTTCGAGGAACCGCGATCCGAATACACCAACTCCGATCACTTTAGAATCACTGTCACACTGTCGCGATCATTGTTCTCAGCTGAATGGGAAACCGTCCAAGACTTGTTCTGCTGAACTAACTCTCGTCAGGTATAACTGTTAATGGATCAGGGATTTAGAAAACGATTGATGCTTTCAGATGAGGTGCATTGGTGCAGTGGTTTTCACAAATACTTTAGGGCTTCTTGTTGCATCTTACTCTAGTAGCGATAGATGTGTCCTGTTACTAATCTTGACGTAACACAAGTGCACTTGGTTTCGAACTGACCTTTCGTTGGTCTTGGATAGTAGCTTTGAAATGACGTACTCTGTCACTAATCTAGGAGTTGGTCTAGTTCTGGCAAACTTGTGACAGCTGGCTTTGGGAGCCGGCTGAAGCTTCCTGCGACTGATCCAGACGCACTCGGGCCTTCTGTCGCTTAAGCTATCCTCCGTTTCTGGGTCAGTGAACTGTCTCTCTGCTCCTGAATCTCAAGACTCAATTGCGTTCACTAAATTGTGCTTGATCCTGTTTTACTGAACTTTCTCTCTGTTCTTGGGTCTCGATTAGCTTGGAATCTTGAGTGATAATTTCTTTCATAGGTGTCCTGTTTCCCTCATAAGGTGTACTCGATCCTGTGTTTCTGTTTCTAGATCCCACTTGCCTTGTACACCTGATCGAAGTTTCTCGATACCAATCCAGGTGCACTCAGTCTCGATTTCCTGACCCTTGCCTACCTCCAACCCATACCTAGTCTCAACTGACGCTTCCACTTGTAATTCTAAGCTCACCAGGTCCCTTTACCCCAAACTTCCTCTGCCTCCAACCCCCAACTGGCCTCAACAAACCACCCGATGCATCCAGATACCACTCGGTCTCGGTTTATCCCCGAACTCCCCTTTGAACGCCTCGAGGACCGATTGATCCTGCAACGCAGGATCGCGTACGCGTCCTCACGCAGCCCTCCCGATGCCAACTCGCCGAGAAGTTGACACACGCGGACACTGGACCCGCGCACTATTCGACGGTCTCACGCACTGCACTCCCGGGTCGTCCTGTGATCCCTGTCACGTGGACCCGGCATTACGCAATCGGGATCCACGTAGATCGCGAGTATCGCGGGCGAAGAGTGAGTTAGAAGACGAGTCGCGGCCGCGGAACGCGCTGGACCAGAGGAGCCGATGTTGCCGTCAGTTCGACCTCGGGCAGACTGGCGTCAAGCGACTTGGCTCGCGAGGAGATGCGCATGCCCGCGCAAACACTCACCCACCCCTCACGGGCCATGGGCGTAAGTCCACGAACGCAGTCGATACGGCAGAGGGGATCGATCGGCAATAGCAGGGAACTGGTTCGTGTCTGAGACGCGTGGTGGCCGTCTGGCTGGTCGCGCGCCACCCAGGACGAAAACCGCGCCACAATTAGGACGATTAGAGCGAAGATTACCGTGGACCTCTTATTAGATCGTGCAGGTGTTGGGAAGAGAGTAGAAAAATCCTTCTTTTGGATTTTCTTCGGCCGTTGGAAAATGTCGGTGATCATTTTAATCCCCATAAAATCACTTAGCGAACTCGTTATGTATCCTGGTGAACTAAAACTTGTTAAACTCTGTTAGAAAATATAAAAGATCCACTAAAGAATAAAGGGGTTAGAAGACGGTGCAAATCCACGTCCGATTTGATCTTGTTTCAAAGTTGTAACCATACTTGCGTTGCCACGATCCTTCTACTAAACTGGACTAACATAACTAGTTCCATGTAACTGTTTGCAAACAGAACCTGATACCCCGTGTATGCTCTCGCTGATTATTTTGCAAACATTGTCTCATCGCATTCTACAAGCCCTGAGCCATTTCGGTTCGCTGTCCGCGGTAGGGGCGTGACGTGTTGAAGCTTGTGATTACAATATCGCGATACTTTGCTTTCAAAATGATAATGGAGGCTAATGTTCGTCGCGTAGGTATCGTATTCAACGTGATATCGTACCGAGAAAAGTAACAGTTTCAATGATCATTTGCTGTTTACACTAGGGAACATTCGAACGGACGTTGTGACTGAAGTACGGTCACGTACATTGAAACAGGGTGGTATTTTACCGTCCCTCTTGTTAAATATTGCATCCACGAAATATCTTCTGTATGCTGTCTATTGATAATTGAAATTATTAGGTAAACAATATTGTACTACGAATTGAAAACGTTTGAAAGAAGGCAGACGGTGAAGAAAGGTTTTTAGTTTAAAATTCGATTTAACAGTGGAGTAGTATACAAAATGAGCCATAAATCTTCACTTTTTATTGCGAGCTTTAAACTATAACGTTTTCACCCATGTAATAGCTTCGTTTTCGAATTCTGAAATAGACTATTTCACATTAAACATTTTTCACAGTACAAAGCTTGTATTAACCTCTGGAAATTTACATTTTATTCTACAATTGAATTTAATCTCTACCATTGCTTTTACTCTCCACGGCTAACCCGTTTCATTCCAGTCAACTACTCGAAATACGGGGAACTTCTACATTAATTTAATTAAACTGTCCTCGTAACGCTAACGGTGTTTTATTTGCCCATACCGCGATGTTTCTCGTCTTTCCAAAACAACGTGACGCGGATCTCGAAAACATTCTGCATTATCGAGGAGATACGATAGCAGGGCACGTGTACACGGCCTCGTTCTCCTATTCATTGTTCCCAATCACACTGTTACGTAGATGATCACGAGCGCCAGAGAACAAAATAAAGAACACGCGATGCGTGGAGGAAAATTGGAATATCAGGTATGTACGACGGGTAAACTTTATAACGAGAATTTCAGGGAAGAATGACTACAAGCGCGGTCGATTTCTTCGCAAAGTTTCGCTATGTACTCAGCCTTGTGCACGTAGTTTACCGCGTAGTTGTCCTCGTTAACAAACTTCGATGCTCGCTAAGCTTCCTTTTCAAAACAGAGGGCCCTTCGGTATTTTTTTTTTTTATCGTCGAGCATCGAATTAGATCCGACCGCGAGCAACACACCAGCCTAATGACGTCGATGTTAACAAGCGAGCAAACCGTCGCCACCCTCCTGAACTGTGGATTACTTTTACAATTTCACAAAGGTTCGTTAGGACAACAGATTACTCTCTTTTGTTAATTAATTTTTAACAAGCTGGATCGGATTACTCGTTTTGTCAGTCGGTGGAATTTAAGAGAAGGAGGATTCTACTTTGAAGATTGATAGCTTTAAGGATCTGAAATAGAGGAAGTGTCTCCTTGAAAAGGACACAAAAGTCTTCTCCTTCTTGGATAGGTCTGAGCTGGATATGTTAAACAAAATAAATAAAAAAAAATTGACCATGGAATTCTTAATATAAAATAAAGAATAACCTCGTCCACTTTGATAAACCTCTCACCTTTCTTGGTTAAGCCTCGATTAGTTGACTCAACCGCCAAAGATGAAAGAACAATTCCAGAGTGTCTACCTCAATTACTCCCACGCATGGATCAGGCTACTTCAGAAGGACATAGTCGCAAGGACGAAGGGGAAACTTACCCCGACTGTATCAGGAACGTTAGGCGTTGTTATCTCGCGAAACGAGAGTGGGTGCAATTCAGAGGCTCTATCGCCTCGTTGCTCGAAGGTGTTATCGCGAAAGCTGTCAAGCGTAGTCCTTGCCCATGCGACTGGCTCCTCGATCCTGCGCCAATTAAAACAGCGATACTGCGACTGTGTACCGTGCATTGTTAACCCCTAATCGAAGTCGTTACTTGTGAGAAAGTTTTCTATGTAATGTACATCTAACTCATTGCACTCGAGGGGAGACTTAAAAGTGACAGTCTTTGTTTCATAGGTTTCTAAAGTGGAACACTTTTAAGTAGTAGTATGATACTTTATTTTTACGACTCTCTAAACATGGTAGAAGAAGGTTTCAGTCATCTAAATTGTTAGCTCTCTGAAATGTGACTGTCGTCGACTGCAAGGAGTTAATATTTCACACATAGCAACAGGGACCCCCTGCAATGAGATGATTAAATTGAACGTCGTCCCAGACGCGGCGTTCCGGTGCGCCAACTTTGCCAATGCTATTAACTCGTGTCCTAAGGCCAATGTCAGTCTCGCTACTCTTAATCACGAGGGCGCTGTGGAGCCTGCGTGTTGTGCCACGTCGAAAGCTGTGCGTAATTCAATCAACCCCTCTCTGACGAAACACTCTGCCTTAGGCCATCGAAATTTGGAACGAGGAGTTGAAAGAAACGCGATGGCCAAAGTTAGAAGAGCCTGTGGTTACTAGGGATTAACACTTGAACAAATGAGATATTCGACGAGTGTTCACTGGGAACATATGCTTTATCAAACAAACAAAAAATACAAATTTTTGAATATACCGCTCGAGAACCTCCTTCTTTTCTGATTCTGCATTAAAATGAAACTGAGACCAAAGTGCACACTGTTTACACATTGTAGCGATGGCTGTTGGTGAATCTGAGCGCTCCTGAGCACGGACTCTGCGTGGTGGACCTATCCCGTTCATTGATGCTCTGATAAAGCGTAAGCCAGTCTACGGTGGCCCTTTCACGTCGATTAGCGTGGCCGTCATCGAGACTACTCAAAGCTGGGAACGTGGTTTTTATGGACACGGCGCGAATGAATGTCGCATAAAGGCAGCCGACGTTGATGCGGACGCGCGCCATTTCCGAGATTGCGATCGACAACGCCGACCTAGCTCTTGGCAAATCGCAACGAATACTCTTTGGGGGTCCTAGGTCAGCCCTCTGCGGGGAATTTTTTTATCTGATTATGATCAGTCGTATATGCTGGAGTTTATTTAAACCGAGCGTATTCGTTGACTCGGTGTTTTATTAAAACTCGAAGCTGAGGAGTGGAAAAATTAAAACAGACACCGCGTTAAAATTAAAACATGGCTCCTTTGTTATTCAATTTATAAATGTCCGGACGATTTACTCTCGCGAGAAAGGAGAACTCTGGAAAAAAATAAAAAATTGGTACTTTGCGTGGCAAAAGCTGGACAGAAACCAGCGACGCGAACGAGACGAACAGATCCCTGTCAAGGACACGATTATGATTCACTGCGCATGCGTTGTGACAAGAAGATTCCGTCGGTGGATTCAAATCGTTATGACTTATTCATTCCCGTTAAAGTACCTCGGCCCTGGTGGATGTCGCGCGGGAAAAGAAGGAAAGAGGGAACGGAGGAGTTTATCTGAACGAGGTTCATTCCAGGCTGCCAGGGCCCTTCCATAAGGATAAAGGACCTGTCCTGGAAACGGACGGTTCTTTACGAGGCCTTCTTGGTCCTGGCGTTTCACATCTCGCGGAGCACGGGCGTCGATCGATAACAATTTATAGCTTCGTCAAATCTGTCTTATACTGTCGTCGCTCGGAACGTTCCTCGTTTCCCCGCGCTACAGAATACTGTAGAAAACGTCCCCAGCACTCGTTCGAATTTGTGAAACACCGCAGGACATTTCATTCCTGCGCACGTTTTCATTTATCGCTACTGGAATCTTCGTCTCTTCGAATCTTCGGATTTATTAAATCCGCTGGAACAATTTATTTAAATGCGTAGCTGATAAATGCTTTTATCAAAAATATTTCGAGATAGTTTACTGGGTCTCTGACTCGCGAAATTAAAATATTAATACTGAAATACAAAGCCAGAAGGAGCATCCGAAGGAAAATAATAAATGGGGAAGAATAAATACGTTATACAGGTTATCACAAACTAATTTTATATTTCTGATCAAAACTGTTCCAACTTAAACCTACCTTGTAGAGCCTCACAAGAGAATTTCATAAGTGTACAGAGCATTGTCGATCACCAAGAAGCACTGAACCACTTTCACCTCTTCTTCTTCCAAAAATAATTTACGTACATCCAGAAGACCGATCTGCGATTCTTTATTTTAGGGAATTGTGTTCTGGCGGTACGTCACCATTGTCTCTGGTTCCACTTGGCGATTATTCCAGCGTCCAAGCCTTACCAGGCCCGTCCATCATCAATTTTTCTCCATGCGAAGGGTGTCCTTTATGCCGCGTGCATAAATTAATTTCGTCGCGTGAGCTCAATCGGACGACGTCTCTCGGCTGTCGCATAAATTCGTCGAAAATTCAAACGCGCGACGCGGAGGAAACGCGTCCCGCGAAACCGTTCCCTCCTTCCGAAGGTAGTTTATCGTCGTTGCTCGCACACGACCCGGAA